GATTCATTTAATCAAATTACCAGATGATACAGATCCACAACCAGTATTGATATCATTGATTATTGTATTTAATTTACGACTAACGAGAAATTTTGTTTATATCAATATCATAATTAGTACAATGCAATACAGGTGGTGTACAATAACCTGTGAAACTTTTTGGAAGTGTAAAATTAATATTATCATCAATTTTTCAAACAGTCTCGCCATTCCTGCTTCACAACTGACAACTGTTAATCTCAAAAAGCAGTATAGTAAAAATTTCAAAAATTTTAACTTGGCGCATTTTGATTCTCTCGTAATAAATTTAATTATTTCAAAAGCAGAACACTAACTTTCCTTCTTTCGTTTTCAAGGTGCATATATAATAAAGATTTGAACGGACAGAGAGTTCCAGTGGATTTGAACATGTTCATGTTTGAACAACATGTTTGAAAATACAAAATTTTGAGCCTTCGACTCGTGTTTAAAATACAACAACAAAATCGATGAAGGACCAGCAATTGTTTCATCAAAGGAGAAGAGATGTGGTTTGAATGCAGTTTTCTTCCAAATTCGATCAGTAGATTGTTCTTTCGATGATCCTATTTCATCATCCGATTCACTACTATCCACATCTGATGAATAAACTGCATCAATTTCCATAGTAGAATCACCTTCAGATTCACTATCCATTTGAATTTCATGTGGATCATTGGTTGTGCACGTTGCCATATTCAGAGATAATTCTTTTGTAATAGAGTCTAAACGACATTATATTGAAGACAATACCTACAAAAGTTCAATGCCTATATATAGGTCACCGGTAACCAAAGGGTTAATCATTTGAAGCGTCTTTACAATGTTTCCAGAAAACTCGCAGTTTCAGAAAAAGTTTATTTTCCCTAGAGTGGAGCCTCTGGAGTCTCAGGAAACACGATCGTTCAGTCTTTAAATGTGAAAAACTTATCATCAAAAAGTCCATCAAAAACTACTACAAAAGTCAGAACAGCGGAATAAACGGTTTAGGAGAAACCTCGAATAAAGAAAGATAAATCTCAAAAGACTCCTTGTGTATGGTAATACATCGGTGCTGAAAACGACTTTCAGACTGCCATTACTTAGACAACTAGCAAGAGAAAGGGAAATTATCACATGTGGGTATAGAAAAAGCAGGCCAAGAGTCATCTTTGATTTTTTCAGTTTTTCGCCAAACCGTGTCGCGGATAAATGACCTCACTTGTTCTTTGTTCCTTCATTATCTTTTCGATAGTGCGAACCTTCATAGGAATGATTTCGTCTAAAAATATTTCATGGAAAAGTGATTTTATCAAAAACCTTTTTAACTAAATTTATTTACAGGTGATAAACCGGTTTTTCACAAAAATGACTCTGGCGAAGTTATATTCATGTCTACACAAAAGCAAATGTTGCCACTATGCTCAGCGTAGTCGACTACCTATATTCAATGGCATTTCGAGATTCCCAGAGATGTCTGCTTGGGTAAAGCGAGTCCGAACGACGATAACTGGAGAGCCGGGACTTGCATAATTTTGTAGGGTAACGTTTGGACTATCTATGCATGCAAAAAGATTACCAACGTTGTGTGTCAGTTTTCTGAGAACGCAGCTGGTTTTCCAAAGATCCTCTGGAAACTCGATCTTTGAAATTTTTTCAAAAGTTGTTTCCACTTGTGAAAAGTTCTTGGCTATCGAACAGCGAAAACCGTAGGTCTCTATCTCATTCCGATCAAGGAATGCGACATGTTTCTTTTACTATATCCCGATCAGGATATATTTTGATGCCGTTTTACCTGGTATTTTGTTGACAAGTAGCCCATATCATTCTACCGAAAATCCTAACTGGATTTTGGGTCCATGCGGCCTGGTTCCAGGGAAATCGTAGTTTTAAGTTGTTTATAGGAATCATCGCAGTGTAACCTGTCTTGCTTATAAAACAAGAACGGAAAGGAATTGAGAGCTGAAAGTTTTCTAGCAAGTTTTCAGAACACTTCTTGTAGTAAATAGCCTATAGAAACTATCTACCAGATGAATTAGAAGTAACATAACTTAGAGATCTAATTGCTTGCATTTCAGTGAAAGACTCGTATTGTTCGTATTGTTCTCGCTTGAAATCAATTTTTATGTTCAACAATGTTGCTGCTTCGAAGATTTCTCCTGTCTCAAAACCCACCTTTCGGGGAAAAGCTACTACGTTTACCAATGGTGAGTGGTGAATACGGATAATAACTCTAGTTAAAGCTTAAGCAGCGTAATCTACTAGAAAGCAATCATGTGCATCAACTATGAGACTGCTGACCGCATTGAGAACAGGCAACTGTTTTAATCATCTGTGATAAAAAAAGATCTACTATTCGCTTCGATATCCTTGGTATCTCATTTTGTGCTTTATTATGCGTTGAATGCTCTCGTGCAGCAGCATGTGACAGCATCTATCAGATTGCACTGTTATTTTTGGTTGATCTTATCCCAAGAAACCCATGAAATTAAAATTTTCTTTTTTAAATTTAAAAGCTTGCTGGTGGCGCATCATCTTGAAAATCTTCTACTACTGTGAATGAACGACGATCGACAGATCTTATTGTAGAATTTGTTTGATAGTTTGGCCATTGTTTTATTTCTGCATAGAATGCATTTCCCGGACAGGCTGTTGAATCAAGATCACTGACAAGAAATGCGAAAGATCATTAGAGTACGTGTGAAAGACTGTTACTTACCGATACCCACGAAGAATATAATCACTTCTTATGTAGCCTTGGGCAACTCCACATTTAATTATGGATTTAACAAGTTCCAGTAAGGCGGCTCGCGGTAGAATTGAAGTGTAATCGCCCGTCACAGACATACCTTAAAACAAGATAGTCAACTATCCCCGACTTATTTAAACATGAGTTTTCCTCCAGTTTCAATCAGAAACTGTCGCGGGACTCGCTTTTAGGTGATCCGCTCCTGAACCGACAGAAGCCAGGACAATCACTGGCCTCATTGAACGCTTAGAGAATGTATACAGATGTCAAATCGAATATTTAAAAAAGGTTTTCAAAAATAGTAATACTGGTCATCCGGTTTCAAAATGGCTTTGATCGGTCAGGAAAGAGTGAAATTTTTGTTAGAGGCAAAATAATTCCTTTAATGAATAATTACTCTTTTTTCTTCAACACGCTCGATTCATCAAGTATAGATCGTACGAAAACGTGTTCGCAAAAATAATTTCAACTTTCTAACTGTATTCTAACTCTTATTGAATTTTGGGAATGGGATGTTTTCGTTCAAAGACTCACGATGAAGTTTAGTAACTATCGAAGTTGACTTCTCAGAGCTTTTTTAACTAAACACTTCTGAAAACTCACCGATGAACTTTTAAAATCCTTACTTTACCCAAAATGAAAAGCTGATTAAAAGATCTGACCATGTAGTGTGTTACATAATTAATTTATTTAACTATTAAAAGAATTATCGCTCTACGATGAAGCTCCGTAGAGATATCCTTGAATGATAGAAGAAAATCCACTAAATATGGATGACATCGTCGGCTAATTAGTGTCACTTTAAGTGCTCCTAGTAAATCCTGCATAGCTGTTGACTTCGGAGACAGTCTGCACGATAAGCTACGAATTCATGAAAATACTTTACTAAGAAATTTCTATTCTATTTGTCCTGAAGAAAGGACTATTTGACGTTATCGTTATTAAATGCATGGGAATGGATTGAAAATTAATGCTTGTTCATTCATTTCAATTTTTTTTATAGGCGTTTGAGTTCCTTAATGTTTCTGTTCCGATTTTTAACAAATGTGAGCGCCTTGGCTCTCACATCACAATTTCCTCTGCACGCATCAAGCAGTTCGAAATACTTGTACTATAGCTGAAAACTCGAGCGGCTCAAGCTTTCAGTGCTTTAAATTAGTTTATTTTATTTCAAATAATTTATGTACTTTCTACGAGAGTTTGAACGAAAAAGAAAAATCAAGAAAGATAACAGACGCTTGTCAAAAGAAAATGCTCGAAAATAAATGATTTCTTTTTCAGAAAACATCAGCGATGAATAAATTAATTTCTAAATGCACATTATTGCATGACTGTTAAAAACATCTGTCGATACATTGTTTCTCGTCGTTAAACGTCAGATAGATTTTAGTTAGGTATGCACCAGTATCAGTATTTTACTGACGAATACTGAGTACTGGCAATACTGATACCGATGAATACTGAAAAGTGTCTAACACTTTTCAGTATTCATCGGTAGGTGAAAATTATGACATCTGTCTAGTATTTTGACAATCGTTCTATATGGACATATGTTTCAGAAGCTTGTCAATAGCTCGTTTTGAAGCGTGAAAAATTCTCTATCTTTTATGTATGGGCTTTGGTCACAGTCTTTGAAATCGTACGAAAAAAGTTGAGGAACATAGTGAACGGCCTTTGTTAAACTGCCCATGTAATCGTTTGCGTTCGAAAAAACGCGTTTGAACGGTAGTTTTCGGAAAATTTTGAGAAAAAACGCGTTTGAACGCTATTTTGGGCTTTCAAATCTACGTTTAAACGCGTTTTGTAAAAACCTACGTTTGAGTGGAACGCGTTTAAACTCTCTAATGTGCGAGGAGCGTTTGAACGCTTTTTCCCATGAATTCTTGTTAAGCGTTTGAAGGCGTTTGATTATTAAAGGCGTTTAAACGCCGAAGATATTGAATACTCTGAATGCGTTTAATTTTTTGAACGCGTTTTAAGGCGTTTCGATTTGATTAGACGTTTGAACGCTGTTCTGAAACAAGTTACAACGGCGTTTGAGAGCGTTCCTATTATTAAACGCCTCTGCACGCTGCAGAT